TAAAGATGAGTACGCCTTAATACATAACAGTAGATCACCCTAATGAAGGTCACCCTTTATTATTACCGTACACTTCCGGTATCAAGAATATTAGGATAAGCGTACCAGTCTTTCCTTCAAGCCGACAACTTATCACGTGTCAGGCGGTCTATCTCGCCTAGACATCTCTGTTATCCCGTGGCCTCTCCCACAAGTAGGAGTTAATAGCCTCTGAAAGATCCAGTTTAGAATATGTTACGGAAAGTATTTTAGGATTTCTTTTGACGAATTTGCCTAAGATATATATATGAAAGTATCAATTAATTTTGTGAAATATTCTGTTGTTTACCAAGACATAATTTCACTCCTTTTAGAGCACATTTCATCACAAAGAAAAAGGCCATTCAAGCCCCAGTAGGGAAGATGCTGGCTTCTTAAGATGCTCTCTTCGACAATCTAAGAAACTTTGATTGGTTTGTTAAAATCGTTCTTAGGTTTTATTTGCTTAGGGACCAGGAGGGAAAGACTAATGTACGTCTTGCCACCTTGTCAAATGATTCATGATCACGGGCCCGCAGAACAACATATCATATGGGACGATGATGTTTAGCTAATTCAATTCAAGTGGCTGACTAAAATAAATGGGCTGAAGTCTTTTTTGAGGGGGTCACATCCTCTTTGGAAGATTTCGTGAATTGGTGCTCGCGCTTTCTCACCTGAGCCCATGTTGCGATCTATTATATGTTTTTTCTTCAAATTCTTCTTTGGTGATAAGGTTTTACATCCTTTCCGTGAAACCCTATGATATGATGTTTCCTCAAACAAATACAAGCCTCTACAGAAGAGAACAAGTCAAGTTTCGACACAAGGTATAATTATGGGTGCTGCTTTGAAGGAATTCATATAATATGGTATTATCATTTGTTCCATTGACCATATGGGGCTACGCCAGCCTTCGATGTCTCATTGAATTTTTAAAGCCGGGGAATATCATACCCTAATATCTTCGGAAAAAAGACTGTCAAGTATACCGTTTCCACAAATCCACAAATCTTCAATAGTCACGTGATCGATGCTACGCAACACAGCGGCTGGCAACGTGTGAGCATCTACCTTTCATCAAACCAACGAAACTATGGATCGCATTCGGGAAGTGTTGAACTTTCCTTCCATTCAGAGACCACTGTCAAACGGGCCACTGAACTTCCCCGGGCATTTCCCTGAGGCAGAAATTCGTGAAACTACGGCTCAGCTGCGTGCCTTTCTTAATGCCGGAGCTTATTTCAACCTTTTGTTTGTGAGGCCAGTCACCATTCTTGTCTATCTTGTGCTTTTGCTTTTCTTTCAAGTTACACAAGTACTTTATTTTCTTGGCAATTCCGATTCAAGATCATCGCTGAGCGCTGGTACGACAGCAAGTAATGCTCTTATAAATGACCCAATTTCAAGGGCCGAGCATTTTGTACGGGAGCTCGAGGAAAACCTCCTGCCCCTGCAACAATTCACGCTGTATCACTCTGATCGAAATTCACAGTATTTGCCTCCCTTTTTCCAAGGAAGTTACACGCAGGCGTTGTATATGGCTTCAACTAGGGCCAAGTTTTTCTATGTGTATTTAACAAACCTGATGAGTGATGGCTCCCAGTCTCTTTTTGCCAAGGTAATCACCAATCCAAAGTTCAGATCTATCTTCCAAAACGAACATGTTATCATATGGGGTGGAGACGTGACAGATCCTGAGGCATACCAGCTAGCCAACAGTTTGAATATCACGAAGTTCCCCATGATCGGACTTCTCTGCCTCACACGCACAACTAGCATGACCCCCGACGGTCCCCGGAAAAGCAGTCCTCGAATCTCCTTGATTCTGAAGATCCAAGGTGGCCTCAAGGACTCAACCAATCCAGAATCATTGATTCATAATAAGTTTGTTAAACGCATGGCGAAATACGATGGAGACTTGGTCATCATACGTGCTGAGCTACGGGAGAAATATCTCACCGAAGCAATGCGCCACCGCCAAGATGCAGATTTTCAACGGTCTCTTCTCATAGATAAACAGAAGAAAGAAAGAAAGAGACTAAAGAAACTCTCGGAGAAGTACTTGAAATGGAAACAACCTTATTTTAAACATTTACAGGAAAGCACAGAGGCTCGCGGTACTCTGCGTATTGCTATCAAGTTTGAAACTGGACAACGCGTTACCGTCATGTTTCCCAAAAATAGCCCAGTCGAGGACATATTTTTGTTTGTGGAATTACACAACCGCAAGATGCTTGACGATATGTACGAAACCACAATGAGTGACGCTGACGCACAGGCGCTTTTTCGCGGCTTCGATATGAAATTCGAATTCAGACTCACTTCGAGTATCCCCCCTCGTCCGACGCTAAACGACATACACATGCAGACACCTATTGAAGATGTAAATTTTATTTTCCCGAGTGGACTACTTATGGTGGAAAGAACATGAACTCTTGCGTAATTCAGATATGTATGTTTATTTTGTATTTTCTGAGTAACATATTTCGATTCCATCATTTGTTCTCCACATTCGTATTGCCCCAGCCACTTCTTTTCCTGATGTTACTTGGTTTTGTTTTTCAGCTTGAACCCAGATTTGACTATTTGCGAATATTTTGTCCAGAAATCACCTAATTCCTCCGGTGCAACCGCCGTGGTTAGAGTCTTTTCTTCACATTTGGCCCTTATGAGCACATAGTATGTGTTTGTATTTGTTTCAAAGCTTGTCAGATGACTGATGACATTGGAAGACAATTGATCAGCTGTGGCGGGGGATTGGGGCAGGAGTCTTTTGTGAGTCAAGTGAACAGATGAAGAGCCTTCGCCGGCTTTCAAATACGAGGCCAATTCTTTCAAAAACTCTGCATTACTGAGACTAGGCAAAGGAAAGTTTCTTGCTATATGATCCAGCATAGTTAAATACACCTGTGTTCTCCTCTAGGGACTCTGAACGTCGTAGAGCGACCGGATGTACGAGAGAAATGGGTCTCGCACGCATCATTTGCGAGGAGGCGGTGGTGAAATCCACTTCGGCTAGCCCTTTTCTGGATGTTTCAAGACATGTGCGCCTGCTGAAATTCTAAGAGCGACCTCAACTTGGATATATTCTGACTGATTATTCGTTTACGTGTACAAAGGGAAAAGACTGCGCAACTATGTTCGTTGTTGCAAGCGTGAATCCTGCAATTCTATGATTTTAGACAGGCAGCAGAGGCCCTTAGAACTTCATGGATTAAGCTCGCTTTTGTCATTGATTTAAACCTATGGTTGTGTGTGAGTGAAGATGCTCCGAAGTGCATCTCATGACATAAGTTAAGGAAAACAGCATGAACATAATCTAGAACCAAATGTTCAAGAGCTGGCGCTACAACTTTCAGGAAATCATTTGAATACTCTGCTGACGCGTCGATCTCCAAGTAAAACCCCTTAGCTCTTAAGCCGTACAATCTATATTTTACGCCAAGGTCAATTAGAATATTTCTATTTCTTCAAGCATTGTTGCCTGTATACGTTATCTGTTGACGTCGTGTATTGTCCATAGATAGCGCGGCGCTCAGCAGGAGGTAGACGTCGCCGCTACTCCTGAAGAAGAAGCCAAAAACAACTAGATAAAATATCAAGAAATCGTGTTTCATGATACCTCTGTGTGTCTCTATCTGTTAAATACATACATATATATCTCAGATAATGGGAGAAGACCACAAGTACGCCCGGCTTGTGGCGCTCTTCGCGTCTTTGTTCGTCGCTTTGGCCGCAGGAACTCCATATTTATACGGCGTGTATTCGCCGCAATTAATTCAAAGAGTTGGACTTTCGACATCTGATGCGGCCACGATCTCAGTGGCTGTTAATTTGGGCTCGGGCTTGGGAGGCTTGCCTGCTGGTCTCTTGATCGATAGGCTAGGACCGCAAGTCTCCATCTTGCTTGGATCGGTGTGTATTTTTTGCGGCTACTACTCCTTGAACAGGATCTACATTCATGCGTTCTCAAACATATATCTAATATGTGTTCTGATGGCGCTTGTTGGGTTTGGTTCTGTAACAAGTTTTTACTCATGCTTGAAAGCTGCACAATCCAACTTCCCAAACCACCGTGGCTCTGCAGGTGCAATCCCCGTGGGCGCATATGGACTTTCCGCCACAATCTTCTCAATAGTGGGAGCAAGGCTATTTTCGGGCGATGCTGGTGGTCTCCTAGCCTTTTTGTCATACGTTTGCGGGTCTGTAGCATTCTTGGGTTCATTTTTAGTCCACGTATTTGCAACACAGGTCACAGAAGATACAGCCCTGACCAGCGAGCCCCCAACTCTTAAACGCTCAGACTCGCCCAGTGGCTCGTTCTCTTTTTGGGGTGTTGGAAGAGGAAATTCAAGCTCTTCGCTCTCTCTGTACCAGAGAGATTTCACCTCCTTGGTGAACACACGGGACCAGATCCATAAAAGCGGACAAGAAGATTCGACTGAGTCGATACCAAGTTCGAATGCAGTTGCACGTCAGATATCAAGTTCGAATGAAAATAGTATGCTACTACCATCCACAAAAATCCCTCGAATATCAAGCAGCGCTGAATTGACGGGAATAGAAGTGATGCAACCACCTGTCACGATCAGGTATTTTCTCGGCAACAAAAACTATCTTTCTCACTTTCTTATCGTTTCGTTATGCAGTGGTATTTGCCAGATGTATATCTATACCGTTGGCTTTATTGTGAGAGCCCAATTTACATTTAAGAGCCACGAAGGCTCTGCAGCAGAAATGCAGGCTATTCAGGTCTCAACTATTTCAATAGCGTCATTTGGCGGTAGGGTGGTGTCGGGGGTTGTCTCCGACTTCATTCACAAGAATTGGAGGGTTCAACGACAATGGGTGATTCTTGGAACCATCCTCTTCACTTTCATCGGACAGTTGCTTCTTGTTGTGACAAATAGCATTGAAAGCATCACCCTCGTTTCTCTTTGCGTTGGTGGAGCATATGGAATTTTGAATGGATCATATCCAGCTATTATAGCTGATGAATTTGGGACGACCTCATTCTCAACCGCCTGGGGGTTGATTAATTCAGGACCAGTATTTTTGTTGTTCACATTGGAAAAATACTTTGGCTATATTTATGATGGCCATTCCGATAGAAATGGCACTTGTAATCTTGGGAACGCTTGTTACAAAGGTGCCTTTGAAACAAGCTGCATTTTATGCATTTTGACTGCAATTTGTACTGGCTTGATGATATATGGTAGAAGGAACATGGAATTCCGCATGAATGGTTCGCGTCTTTCATAAACGAGTATGTTTACTATTGACAAATTTCAGGATTGGAAGACCCCCATATATACTCACTTAAAAGGTCTAATCAACAGTGTACACACTTTCTAGATCGATTTCATCAACGCGTGATTTTTGATGGCCAATTTGCTCCAATAAAGTTTTGAAAAAACCTGAGCATATTTCAGCATTTTTAATGTCAGACTCAAGTTTTTCCTTTTCTCCATTTCTCTTATCAATGCTGGTTTGAAAGTTATTCATGACTTGTCTTGCAGGGAAGTTGAGGACCAGTCTACATTCCCTGGAAATTCTATCAGCGTTTATGTGTGCATAGTCTATTTCTAAGACTTGCTTCCTCAACTTCCTTGCTTGCTTTCTTGGGAACGCATTTGGTATATCATTTATGAGATAGAAAATTGCGAATCCACCAACACCAAGAATGACTGGCACAACAGCATGCTTGATAACAGAAGGTTTGAGCATAGCCGAAAAATTGTAAGCTTTTCTCATCAAAGCTCCCGTTGTGAGTAGCTTCGTCAGAGAATATAAAGTATGCAAAGTGAGTTGTGTGGGTAGGGTTTGCCTTAAAGACGAAACCGACCTTGGGATAGTGCCAATGAGAACATCAGGCGAAAGATGACATATATGGTCCCTTGTGCTTTGAACGAAAGCTTCTGGGATTCCTAGCCACATCATAATAGATTCGAAGGATGGATCAAAAAAGTCTGAGATCTCAATCAGATTATCTAGACTTCTTTTAATTGTATCGCGCTTTCTAGTGAACATTAAATCAGGTTTGAAAACTTTGTCAGTTAAAAATTCATCTCCTAGGGTTTGCTTGCCGAAATCGATAATGTCTTTGACTGCATTACCAGTCAAAGTCTTGGCACTTGCTTCACTCATGTGAACAGATGAAACTATAGTGTCGGTCATCTTTCTTTGTGTGTCTCTTGCATATTCATAAACATATTGCAAGCCCAAGTATGGCACAATCTGAGATGAGCCAAAGTTATCCACCGTCTGCAAAATCTCTCTCCGAGTGTTGTCATAGGCTTCTGAACAAGTTTTTTCTACGAGACGATTGATCTTGTCATTACCCAGAAGACATTCTTGCACCATGGTTTCGTACTTTGGCCCTATCGTCAGTTTCAAAACTTCAACCATTCTCTCCCGTTCATTGAGATATATGTTTTGGTTGATCTCCGAAAGGATTTTCAAGTCACTTAATAAATTCATGAGATAATTTTTGGCTGGAAGTAACTTTGAGATCGATCTTTTGTCAAGAATGAACTTCCGCAATGATGCCTCCAAGTTATCAAAGTTTGGATCCGCAAAAGAGGGCTCGTTGTCAGGGTCATCACCAGGACCACCCCCACCGCCACCAGGCACGGAGGTAGAGCTGACAAAATGAACAAAATCTTTTGCATTTTTATACGTGTCAGGGGATAAACTCTTCACCTGATCCAAGATTTTATTCATGCATTTCTCTTTGTCCTTGATGTTGTCGAAACGGTTCACAACAATGAACACATATCGTTTTTCAGCAGCCGCAGCAGCGATGAATTCTTTCGCCGATAGGGTGAAATGGTTTTCAGCGCTCACTACAAAGACGACCAAGTCAATTTCCTCCTGGCGAGAGAATACTTGTGTGGTCTGGTATGAATCCATATTAAGTCCTGGGGCATCAATCAATTTAATGTCGATGACCCCGTTGCCGAGCAAGCTTTGCTCTGCACTTCTGTAGTCAAGAACATAAACTTTGAGAAGGCTGTACTTGTCACACTCATATACCAACTCCTCTAGATTATCGATAGAGTGTTTAATGTAAGTGGATTCGTTTCTCTTATCGTATGTGATACCGATGGGAATGGCATGAACCTCCTCAACACTTTTGTTTTCAGTTTTGGCATCGATGACTTCGCAGAAGATAGAAGTGCACGGCTGCTGATCTTCAGGTAAAACCTTGCGCCTTAACAAGGCATTACAAAATGTGGACTTCCCGGCGTTAAGATCTCCTGTTACGAAGACTTTAGACGAAGTGTCGTCTACTCGGTCTTTAAGATTATGAAGATATCTCACCTGCTGCACCAACTTTTGCTCTAACAATGAGGAAATGGATTTCTTATCCATATGGGTCAAGACATTCAGACTATGTCCCATCTTTAAATTGAGTTTAAGCACCTTGAAGTCTGCGGGCTCGACCGAGAGTCCATCTATGGAGCAAGCGTTGTCGACAGGAGCTTTCGCAAGAGTCTTGGTCTCTAAGTCTGTGTTGCTGCGCACAAGCGCCAAATGAGCTCTTGGGGAATTAAGTAAGAGATTTTCGGTATCAGAGTTTTCTGTAGGGAAAAAAACGTGCCGCTCCCTGTTCTCCTCTGTGAGGCTTGATAAGATATCGATTGTGTGGTTGATCGCACGGTCCAACGCGACTCGGTTGCTATTAAAATGCATCTGTTTGAGCGAGGCATTGAAAGCCGTGCTGCTCATGCTTGGGTGACGCGGTCTTGGGTGGTGGTTCATTTGTGACGACAGTCCTTGAGCCCCTTCGAAAAGTGTGGTGGAGTCACTAATAAGACTACCTTCTTGTGGCATGTACATCATATACGAGGGCTCATCATGAGGGACAACTGTCTGGATATCATCATTATCTGAATCCTGATCAAAAGCGGGCTGTTCTAAGCCCAATTTTCGTGCCTTTGACATGGCTTTTGGGTGCTGGGAATGGTTTTTGGAATAGAAGGCAAGTCACTAGCCTGACAATCATGCCGAGGCGCACGCATGCAGGAGTTTACCATTTTTGGCTTCTGGCCGGCCCCGTCCGTCACAAGATGACCGGGTTTCGGGGTAATTGAAATCAGGCACTTGCAAAAAGCAAGAAGTTAATTATTCTTCCCTGATTTTCTGCTTCGCATCCTCGTCTTTTTTGCGAGCCAAGATCAGATTGGCTGTCTATATATATTTTTCACATCCAGACAATCCTAACCAAGGGTTTGTGGCTTCCTCCGCGAAATTGAACGAATTGCGCAAATGTCGTAGCCTTTTTACTGTTTAGGACTTACGATATATTACCCACTTTGGGTGTAGTCATAAACATTGTAGCACCCGGTAGTTTGCAATGTACCTTTCAGGGCTGGAGGCTCTTTCATTCAAAAAAAACAACTCTTTGATGAAACGGCTGTCTTTCGGGATTTGCTTCTTCACGTGACTCGTTAGTGATATCGATTTCCAAAAATGATGCGTGGACTTTTACATGTATGTTTGTACATCAGATACACAAAGGTTCAGGTGAGACAAAAGCTTCTTTTTCTGAAGTCGATACACCTTTCTAGAACCCATCTATATAAATTGAAGGTAAATCACTGGCCTTTTTGTTTCTTTGAAAAAAGCTTACATTGATTCCCATTTCATCTTGGTTCCATGGTTGGATGTGGCGCCAGGCCCATTATTCGAAAGTCTGAGCCGAGGGACCAGGGAAGACTAGGCCAGATGCACTTACTGGACCGCAAGTTTGATTGGGTTTCAGCTTTCGTGCAATATTACTACCCAGTACAAGCAGTTGTCGCTTGCGTGGGTTGCGTCATTACCTTCCTAGTTCTTCGCAGTTTTCCAAGAATTGAAATACAGTGCGGTTATGTCCGCTTGGCAAAACTAGTAATAATCATGTTTTTGTCGTTATTTGCGGCTGTTATGTGCCTTACTCTCACCTTGGAGCTAATGGAAACTGGAAGAGTAATCGAAACGCGGATTTTTAATTTAAAAGGTCGTGTCTGGGGACTTCTCACATTGGTTGCTGCTGTATCTCTTACAATTTTATCAGCAAGTCTCATTTGTGTAGTTCTGATTATGGCACATACAAGCTACCTCTATGCTACGGGCTGAGTGAACTGTATACCTCATCTATGATATGTTCCTTTTTCCTTCCCCAGACACAAATAATTAGCTCTGATCCTAAACTCGCACAATAACAGGCACAACCAAAATTCCCGTGTGCATAACTAGATAGCTCCTGCATCGGCCAGTTCCGCGTTATCAGCAAGCTCGGCCCGGAAGTCAGTGGCCTCGGTGAGGGTCAGCGTGATGATAATAATCGAAATTCCAGTCGCACTTTCATGAGAAGAACAACGGACTACCTTGAGCATTCTTGAGTCGTAGAATAATGGCACTCAAAACATTTGACACGCAAGGTTCATTTGCCATATCTGCAGAGCTTCTCACGCCAGAAAACTTTGCTTCATTTGGCGGGGTCATGAGTGCGGATCACCAAATTCAAAGTGTCCAGTTGTCAGCCGCAAATTATGGAACAGCCGTGAAGATTCATAACGTCGCACCGATAGCGAACAATTCAGACCAATGTCCAAGCGGGAAAAAGGCTGAGTCAAGATGGAACATTTTCCGATGCTCCGCGCCAAATCACTTGATTCAAGTGAAAAATGCTTCCACGGACTCGTATCGGGCTAAAGTTTTGGAGCGACATCCATTCTCGACACAAACGTTCGTTCCCATGGGTCACAATGCCAGCAGATTATCCTATTTGGTGATTGTTGCGAAATCTGATGAGCTAAGTGCCGAGAAACTTCCAGATCCGACTTCTCTTCGAGCTTTTGTTTGTATGGGAAATCAATCTGTCACATATGGGGCAGGTGTGTGGCATGCACCAATGGTGGTAATTGATGACAGTACTCCGCACATTGATTTTGCTGTCTTCATTAATGAAAACGGCGTGCCAGATGAGGACTGCCAAGAGTGCTACTTTGATCCTGGCTATTTAATTGAATATCCCACCGATAAGAAAGCAAAACTATAGATTTTATTTGTTTCCTAAATTTAAAAGTACTCCATATAGTCATCGACCAAGTCCTCAATGAAAGCCTTTTTATCCTCGTCGTTCATTTCTTGAGCTCTTAATTTGTCGAGATTGAGCTTTGTGAGTAAAACGTCTAAATCCATTGGAGCCAGAGGCTGATTTAGTGGAGGTAGAGACTGATCTTGAAACCTGTCATTTTCTTCATCCATGAGTCCTTTGGTCATTGGACCTAGCTTATCCTTCTTGCGGCTTGTATAGGCTTCATTGCTCATGGGCTTGTCGCTATGAGACCATTCGTGGGTATGAAAAATTTCAACGAGCCGGTCCTTTCCTATTTTTTCCGCATACTCATTTGTTCCCAGTTCGTGGAAGTTGACATATTCGAAACCATGAGCAATCACTTCGTCTTCAGTGATATCCAGCAATGATTTATGAATGGGATCAATAAAGTCTACAACCACCAGGAATATATCATTGTCTTCAAGCAACTCTTTCATTTTCACAAACAAAGCAAGGGTTTCGGAAAGGCACTCATCATCAATGGGACTTTTTATAGTGAAGACTAAACCATCTAATGCGTCCCTAAGTTCTGTGAATTCGGGAGATTTAAACTCATCAAGAAATGTCTGTAGCAGCGTCAGATTGGAGGACTGCGAAGCTCTGGAATCCGGGTATTCTTCAACTAGCAAGTTCACGTCCAGTGTGAAGTACTTGGTACGTAGCTTGTAGTTGTATATGAGACCACTATGAGAATCTGGTTGAATTGTGCTCGTATCTAAATCCTTGGTTATATGTTGGGCAATTCTGATCTTGCCAGTGTGTGGAGGTCCAATGATTAGGACATTATTTGATTGCATTGCGCCAGATGATGGCTGGTCAAGTTAGTGATGACACAAGCAAGAACTTATACTAAATGACTTTCTTTCTATGGTATGGGGATATACAGCGAGTTGAAGTTAACAAAACGCTGTTGGGGGTGTACAATCAAAAAAAATCGATAGAAAGACAGAGATGTCCCGCGTACTCAGCATTGTGAGAAATCGGCCCAAATGGAGATAGCACTGAGGCTGCGCACTAGCGGGGCCATCTTGTGCAACGGTAAAGCTGCAAAGCCCATAGACTTATTAGATCCAGACGTGTGGATAATTAAGTTAGACCTCAGATTCTTTGTCTAAGTTTGCTAATGGGTTCGGTCACAAACTGGACATTTGGCACAGCTGTGTTCGAAAATACAAATCATATTTTGACATCAAGAGGCCCCGCACCAGTCCTCTGTTGCCCCAGGCCGCGCGTTTCAACACATTAGCCTCCCAACAATTTAGACCATTGATAAACAAGAGGCGTAATTGGTACACTCTTTGAGATTCCGTACGGACCACAAAATGGCACCTGTGCAATCTAATGATGACAAGGCTGCAAGCAGCAGTGTTGACATGTCAAGCTTTGATACATTTAAGCTTGAAAACCTTCTCATTCGAGATGCAGATGCATTCCAGACTTCGCTAAGTTCAGAAGATTACTTGGACAGCTTGGCTCCAATCATCACCGATGCATTAAAAGCAAATGCTCTTTCTGATTTTATCACCACACTCAACAATATCGTGAAGGCCAAGGATAGCGAATTAAGTGAGAAGTCTCTCAATTCAGCAAACGACATCAACACCTGCATCGATAGTATTGATCAGGTAAGTGACCAGTCAAATGAACTCCGGGAGAACTTGAAACACGTCAATGACTTTTTAAACAAGAGTGTTTTCGAGCTAATCAACAAGAAAAAGGCGCTTATAAAATGCAGGGAAACATCAAACAAGATCAACGAGACTATCGCTGTGTTGAGCATATGTATTCAGGTGTTGGAAATCACGAACAAAATCCATGACTGGATTAAGCAACACAAGTACTTCAGTGCGCTCAAACTAATTGAAGAGCTCACCTCCATTCATTTGCCAAAAGTAAAAGACTTCTCTTTTTCAGTGAAGATTTATGACTCTGTTCCACACTTGACTGCCATGATCAAAGATGAATCCTTTGATACGGCGTGCAAGTGGCTTTCCACACAAATTGAGCGTAAAATTGAGCCTATTGGTGATTCTGTGTTCGCAAATCTCGCAGAGCTCAATCTGAATTGGGAAGCCGTGAGGGCTGACAAGAACTCTACAACCTTATTGCCTCACCGACTCAATTCTGCTGTCGAGCTATCCATGAGAGACCCATCACTCAATTTTAATATTTTCGATGTTTCAGAACTAGCCATTAATTTGGCTCCCATCTACGACTGTGTTTTGGTATATCAGTCCCTTGGCGAGCTCCCGAGCCTTTGTGCGGCGTATCACAAGGAATGGATGAAAAAATACCAACGAATTATCTATCCCATTACCTTGTCTCTGAATGTTACAGAGAAACTGGCTTTTTATCAAGAACCTACAGTCACTTTTAATGGAATTGGGGCCCTCGAAGCATACCTTAAACAAATTGCAGCGTTTTTCACCATAGACAAGCAGCTTAACACCAAAACAAAGTTCGAACTCAGATCTAACGATACTGCAAACGACCTATGGGAATCATTTGCTATCAAGCTAAAGCCTGTATTATTACAACACTTGGAGCGCAAGAAATGGGGTTTGAATGATTTGAACGAGTTAGCAGACTACAAAGAAATACTCGGAAATTTCTTGCAAGTTATGGAAAACAGTCAGTACAGAGTAACTGAAATTCACGATGTTTTGATGGTCATATTCAAGCTGTATTTTGGTCCGATCTTGATCCAAGAATTCAGGGTTGAATTTAACGAGTCCATGCAATCAGATCATTATATGCCACTTGTGGTCACAGATAAAATTGATTACGACAATGTCATGAAAATCTGCTGGTACAAGAAAGATTCTAACTTTGCTCCACGAAACTTTCAATCTGTGCCTATCTCATTCCCATTCAGTGAAGATTATGTACACTATTGCTTGGGTATGCGAACTCTTTTACAAGATGTGATTGACTTCACTTCAAAACACTACACCACTGACTTCCTTGAGCTAAATCACATTATTGTTAATGAAATTTTTGAAAAGGTCTTGGGGGACCAACCAGGTGTGGGAATTTGCAATGATATTGAAGAATTCATTGAAAAAAATCTGAACAACAAAGAGATTGTTGCGCAAACTTACACGAACTTGGAGTATTACTTGTTCAGTTTGTATGAAATGGGGAAAGTTATCGACAGAAGATTGAGAACTCACAACGGAATTGGAATTATCAATATAGATACCAACTCTACTTTTAAGTTGAAAGCCATAGAGCTATTCGCGAAAGTCCGGAAGTTTTCCGAGAATGCTATTTTTAAGATGGTGGATCAAAAAGTTAGCGAGTTGCTTGACATGGTTGAGTATGATGATTGGTTTCCGGTGGAAAAAAATACTGATCCCAATTTCTTTATTCTTGACTTTTCACTTTTTTTGGAAAACTTATTCAACTCCATTTTCTCGAACTTGCCTACATCGTTCAGAACGTTAGGTCTTTTCAGAAGTTATGATTTCATTTCGGAATATTTCCTAAATTTGCTCAATAATGCCCACCTGTTTAACCGGACGGCGATTTTGAACTTCGATTTGGATGTCAACCACCTCGAAAAGTCTATGGCGAAACTAGTTAGCAATCAGAGACCCAGTGGAGAGGAAGGAGGTTCCGTCGCTTTGCAGTCTACATTTGCAGAGCTCAGACAAAGCATCGATGTGTTGTTGCTAGAGGATCATGAAGAGTACATGAAAAATCCGACATTCCGAATGCGTCGGTTTGATCGACTCAAGTATGAATCCGCAGTCAAATTGATCAAAAAGTTGAAGGGACCCGAGGAAAATGATTCTATTTACAGTGGTGTGGATAGCCGCAGTGGAGGTCTTACACGGGATGCTTCAATACTCAGTGGAGCAACTTTTGCCAAATGGGGAAAGTTTGGAAAAGGCGAAAATTAGCTTTTCCAGAATTTGAGGCTGGAAAGCCATCCCCTCTTCATGGGAACCATGTCTTTTCTAGCATCTTCAATAGCTTCTTGCATTTCTGTTTCCAAAATCTGCGACTTCTTCAAGAGCTCTGCTTCCACATGCTCGTACTCAAGTGCTGACCAAAGTGCCTGGAGGGCCATATATGTTGCCGACGCCAACAAAAATGTGTGGAGAAGCGGGTTCTTGAACTCGCTTAGCTTTGGTTTCGTTGGTGCCGGGTGATTTCCATCGAAATTCTCGCTAAACTTGACGCTGTAAAACCTATATGGAGCTTTCACAAGTTTGACTTTACTAGAAATGTTCCCAAAACTCCTAATCATGGCTTGAATGGGCATACGTCGTGCGTTTATGTAGATCTATCATGGGTGGTGGTACATGGCTTTAGGTAGTGGAGGGGTGCACAGGTGTCGCGTTGTTGACTGTGTTAACCTGCACCAAAAAGCTAGCTTCTAGTCTCCATAGTTCTAGCTTAAACCAGTGGCGATCAGATTAAAATAGGTTTCTTTTCGTAACATCAACGTCAAAATGTTCAGAAATAATTATGACAATGACTCAGTGACATACTCCCCGACTGGAAGACTTTTTCAGGTGGAGTATGCGTTGGAGGCGATCAAACAAGGCAGTGCGGCAGTGGGAATCGCTTCCGCCAACCATGTCGTGTTGGTTGCTTTGAAAAGAAATGCCGAAGATCTTGGAAGCTATCAGAAAAAGATCATAAAAGTTGATGATCATATGGGAATTGCTTTGGCTGGATTGGCTCCCGACGCTCGCGTGTTATCTAACTATTTGAGAAAACTTGCAATGAACTCGAAACTTGTCTTTAATAGGCCATTGCTGACCAGTAAGGCTGCTTTTTCTTGCGCCGACAAGGCACAGGAGAATACTCAACTGTATGGATCGAGACCATACGGTGTTGGCTTGCTTATTGGTGGATGGGACGAGACCGGTGCACACTTGTATGAGTTTCAGCCATCCGGATCAGTATTGGAGTACTATGGCGCTGCTATTGGCGCTAGATCACAAGCGGCAAGGACATACTTGGAGCGTAACTTGGAAGTTATTCGCGGATGCCAGGACATCGAGTCTCTTGTTGTTCATGGGTTGAATGCATTGCGCGATACTTTATCCCAAGATATGGAATTGACTATTCGGAACACGACGGTCAGTGTTGTTGGCAAAGACCAAGAGTTTGTCATTTACGAAGATGAAGACGTCCAGCGCTGGTTGGGTAAACTTGACTCTACCTCGAATGCACGCAACAATGATGACGACGATGATGATGAAGAGGGTGACAATGCAGAAAAAGCGCACAGTGCTCCGAAAGACAAATCCAAGGATCAGGCTGACACGGAAGAGAAGCCTCAAGTCACTGGAGGTGATGCATCAGAGACCTCAGATAAAATGGAAACCGATTAGATGCCAATACACGATTATCATGTGAAACCTTAACTATGTACAATCTCCCCTTTTTCACTTTCCCCCTGTGTTCAATTCCTGTTGCTTCTGGGCAACTTTTTGTATGCTGGCCATACATATGCTTTGTAAGTGATTCACGTCTTCGGTCATTTTTTGAATATCATGCAAGATTTGCTTGTCCCTGATATCGGTGATTCTTTTTCGCAATGACTCGATAACGCTGCTAATTGCAGATATATCAACCTCTTCCATTAGCTCGCCAAATTGCGCCACGGCATTTTCAGCATCACAGCAAAGAATATCCATACGAGCAGCATGGGAAACATAGTTTTTGAATTCTGCATCCTTCTTTGCATTTGCCTCACTATTAGCCAAAATTTCCTGAATCTCCAGATCCGAAAAGCCAGTCTGGCCAGAGACTTGGATTGAAACCGTGTTCGGTTTCCCAAAATTTGGCGAGCCCTCAGGGTACGGAGTTTTATCAGCGGCAGACACATTAATGATTCCATCGGCATCAATATCAAAAGATACCACAATTTGTGGTGTGCCCTTGGGACCAAAAGGTATATTACCCAATTTAAAGTCTCCAATAAGCTTGTTGTCCTTTACAAGAGGTCTCTCACCTTGATAGACGCGGACCTCTACCCCAGTTTGGCCATCCACAGCAGTTGAAAATGCCTGCTCTTTTTTAACTGGAACTGCGGTGTTTCTTGGTATCAAAGGGCTAAAGATTCCCCCGTATGTCTCGATACCCAAGGTCAATGGAGTGACATCTAAAAGGACAACATCCTTTAGCTGGCCTGACAAGACAGCACCTTGGATGGCAGCACCCAATGCAACTGCTTCATCTGGATTGACTGCAGTGTTGGGTTTCTTGCCAAAAAGCCTTTCGACGTTTTTTCTGATTTTAGGCATCCGTGTCATCCCACCTACCATAATAATCTCATCGATTTCTTGGGCCAAAAGTTCGGCATCTCGAAGGCATCTTTTCACGGGATCAACTGTCTTGTTGATTAAGTGAAGCGACATCTCATCAAGATCTGTCTCTTTCAAGTTCATGAGAATATGCTGATCTGCGGTGATAAACGGAAGATTTATCTGTGTCTCTGACACGTGCGAAAGCTCGATTTTACACTTCTCGGCCGCCTCTCTAATACGCTGCACCGCAAGGCGGTCTTGCGAAAGGTCGATGCCACTCTCAGCTTTGAACCGATCAATAATGTGCTTCAAAAGGAGTATGTCGAAGTCCTCGCCACCCAAATGCGTGTTTCCATTAGTCGCCCTCACCTCAAAAACACAGTTGTCAATTTCTAAAATTGAAATGTCAAAAGTGCCTCCTCCAAAGTCAAACACTGCCACGGTGCCATCAGATTTCTTCTTGTCAATACCATAGGCAAGGGCAGCGGCAGTGGGCTCATTGATCACTCTCAAAACTTCCAAACCTGCCAATTTTCCCGCATCTTTAGTGGATTGTCTTTGCAGATCATTGAAATACGCAGGAACTGTAACAACTGCATGCTTCACTTCTCCCAGAAGGTGTGACTGAGCCACCTGTCTCATTTTCTGGAGCACTATACTGCCTATCTCCGAGGGAGAGAACTTTTTATGTTCAGTAGTCTCGACCCAAGCATCTCCATTTTCGTGCTTGACAATGGAATATGGCACATTGCCGAGATCTTTTTGCACTTCCTCATCCTCGAATTTTCTGCCAATCAATCTTTTTGTAGCGAAAAATGTATTACGCGGATTGACCAATGCCTGCCGTTTTGCAGAAAGTCCCACCAATGTCTGATTGTCTTTCGAAATTGCTACAATAGAGGGTGTAGTGCGTTTCCCTTCTTCGTTTTCAAGAATCCGTGCTTCTTTTCCTTCCATTATTGCCACTGCGGAGTTTGTAGTACCCAAATCGATACCAATAACATGGTGATATCGAGCCAGTATATAGCACGAGTTTCTTAAGACTCTTTTCGCCAAAAATCCAGGCCTGCTTGCTAACATTTTCAGAGATCAGTAGTGTATTCCCCCAGCACTATTGCTGCTAGAATCGGAAATGGATCGTAGAGCGCGTCACGTGCACAAGGCCCTCACTGATGGAAGAGATTAATAATAAACGTTATACCCGAGCATGTCCAAGGTCATAGTTCGACACAGTGGGTGATTATTCCTTTTGAAAATTCATTATATTTACCAATTTTGGCTGGAACAGAACAGAACATATCAACAACGTGTTAGGTGATCCTCATCAGAAGTCAATGTTAAAGATTTGCACTTTGGAGGGTTCTATGCTGTGAGGAGGTAATTTTGGTTTTTTCTTCGAGTTCGGCGAACCACACGTTTCGATGCTCTATATTGTTCGTAGTTCTCGTTCATTCTACGGACTCAATGTTTTGTTTTGCATATTACTGTATCAAAAAATACGGGTGCTCATTATAGTAACTCTGTTTTGTGGGGTCTATTTTTCAGGTTTATTACTTAGATAGTACTCGCACTCCGACTTAAGTCTGAGGACAATTTTGGTGCGAGCAAGAGCTCATCTCAACAATCACCAGTCAACAAAATGGGCAAGAGAAGATCTGATTCCGGAAATGGTAACAAGAATAAGAAGTACAAAGTCAGTTGCTTTATTGATCCAAATACCATGGGGATATATGCGACTTGCAATAGAGGTAGAGAGCTTGGATGCAGAAAAGAATTGGTGAACCTATTGTCTGAGAAGATTGACAAATTGTATCCAGACTGGGAAAAACACGTCGAGGAAGAAGAAGTCGAAGCAAATGACGAAGATCGTAAAAACTCAGAAGAGAAAACGGCCGATACTAAAGAATTGTCGGTAGAAGATCAAATCAAGCAAGAATTGGATGAAATGAAGGGCCCTCAAGGTCGAAAGAAGTCTGTGCATCCATTACTTCACCCAATGGAACTTGGATGTGAGTGCCTTGTGTTTGTTAAGGTCCGTAAGCCAGCTGTCCCTGTTGAATTAGTGCAGTCATTGTGCGAAGAAGCCACACTCACTAAGCAAAAGAATACTAGATTCACCCAGAAATTGACCCCAATTACATTCTCAGTTTCTGCATCGATGGAGGAGCTCACCAAGTTGGCGGAAAAGGTATTGAAGCCACACTTTCATGCAGAAGATCAGGTCCCAGTCAAATTTGCCATACAAGTCACCAGAAGAAACTTCAACAGTCTAGAAAAAGATGACATAATAAAACAAGTGGCAACTTCTGTTGGTAGAGAAAATGGACATACTGTTGATTTGAAAAACTACGATAAACTCATCATGGTGGAGTGCTTTAAAAACAATATAGGTATGAGTGTTGTCAGCGACTTCAAAAAGTACGAAAAGTTCAATTTGCAACAGATTTTTGAGAAGGACATGGGCGAATCGACTTTATCCAGAGTGTCCAACCAAAGCTAGCTCAGGATAATGTTTAGTTCACAATGATATTGTATTGATATAGCTTAAATATTTTAAAACGAGAGTTTCTCAATGTATTCTCCGGCAACTTGCCAGCTCAACCAATCGGCCTCTTTATTTGGAATAAGGCCCAACTTATTTAGTTTCCACAACCCAATCATCATGTTGGCCAATTGGCATGAAACGAAAACAATCTTGGGTAAGTACATCTGCAGACTATTTGTGTTGGTGGTAAACCCAGCAAATACTGAGTTTGTTTCAGTAAGTATAGCTTTGAGGGGATTCCAAAGCAACATAAGCGTCATCATTATTGGAATGACCTGCAACGAGTTACCAGTCATGTAGCTCATGACCAAATTCATGGGGATATTCTTGGCTGGCATCGTGGCTATATCCCATGCTTTTTTCACCTTGAGCAGATCCAACTCTTTCTGGGTGGGCTTCTTAGTGTGTTCATTTTTCTCGGTTCTATCCGACTTTTTCAACCTTGGTGCTTCTTGCTCAAATCCCGGCGGAGACGGGATATCACCGGTCATAGGGGCTAAGACCTTGGGATGGAGAAGCTCTTGAATTGTCATTGATCAGGATGATAAGTGCAAGATGGTTGTATTTATGCTAGTAAACTGATTTAAGCGAGGTTTGCACCAGACTGCACTATGTTGAGTATCAGCGACTTTGATCGTAGGCCTTCAGGCTACGTTTACGCCTTATATTCTCGCGCACACGCATGCAACGAGAAACAATAACTAGTTTCAGATTTTCAAGGCCGGGTTTCTTGGACAAAAACAGTGGAAACAACTTTGCAAGAACCTAGACATATCATCCTTATATCATTTCTTAGACCTGGATAATATGAATATGGTTTGCTTAAAATCTTGAGCTACAACATATTTCGTTGATGCAGTCTCAACTTCACTGATCGGCGGACCCAGCCAAGATAATTTGTAATCCGAGAGAAAAAAATAACGCAGAGTTTGGGGCCGAAGAACCATACCATAAAAGATCCTTATATGACTCCTCGATGCACTGGAGGGCATACTGTTTGCAAATACACGTGCATACAGATATCCACATACTAATCACGTGACCCATTTGCCTGCTGCTTTCGCTGTGCTATCGGTCATGGAACCTTGTCGCATGAACACCACAGCCTAGTAGCTCTACACTACAAACCGAAACAATGAATTCCACCCAGCAATTTGGAAAAAACCCTCTCAACAAAATCATCGGTCTTTCGATAGTGCTATCTATGGGTTTTCTCTTGGTAGTGCTCGCGGGCGTTTCTGGCAATTGGTTCCCTATAGTTGACGGCGTCATTTTCGCCGTGTCATATCTTCCAGTGATAATTTCTCGAGTTGCTTTTACTCTGGGTGATAACGATTTCAATTTCGACCCAAGTATCTCATCGCACACTCTGGCCGCCCAAGAGCTCGGCAAATTTCTCACCGCTGCCCTATTAGTCACGGGGTTCTATATCCCATTTTTGCTTCACCACTCGCATTTTCTTAGCACGACAGCAATGATATTGACATTCATTGGAGGCCTGTTAATTTATGGTACAGTTTATACTTTCAGCCAAGCATTTGAGCAGAGCGAGGATGATGAAGCCGAGTTGGGCGCCGGTGTTATTTGAGCGCGTTGTTTTCAACATTTGAGAAACCATGTTCAAATACCCCTCAAGTTGGCGAGGTCTGCTTTTATGTTCAAATTCGGACTTGCTTTTCAAATCAAACGCTTCCTGATGTCTGTCTGTCCAATACAGTACATCTATTAAGCGGTCCAAGTACCCAACCCAAGTGCGGTACATCGTCAATCATCTTGATCTTGTCGGAAAAATACCTCTATTATGCGACTAGTCTCAAATATTGATGCAATGCCAGGTGCATCTTGTATCGTACTACGATGAGTTGACTTTGAATTGAAAATGCTGTCTAATGTACATGTTGGCCATACAGTGCGACATGCTGACCTTGCTTATAAAATCGTACTTACCTCAGAAACCAACGTACATCCAAATCTCTTTTTAGTCTCAAGCACGTCGTAACCTTATAAATTTATCGTCTCTATTTTGTCTTGACCACAATAAAGGGTGTACCCTTATCCTCTTCCTGCTGCTCAATTTTACCCCAGATACAGTGTGCCCTGCTATGAGGCCGAGTGTGCATCCGTACATCCGGCCTCAGATAGCAGATCTTCACTCTCAATATCACTATTTATCAGACAACACCAGAAGATCAGAAATGTCTGTTGCCGTCGACGCCATGGCGGCCGCTGAGCAGCAAATCACATTGGAGCACCAACTTCGAGAGAAGGTTGTCAATGAAGAGTTCAAAATCTGGAAAAAAACAGTGCCTTTACTTTACAACAGTATTCACACGCATGCGTTGAAATGGCCACTGTTGACGGTTGATTTCAGTCCCAAGTACACTATTTCAGACGACAAAAAGTCGTTGGAAGTTCTTTTTGTCACGGGCTCAAATACTTCCCAAAGAGATCAGGACACGGTTTCATTACGCACGATTAATTTGCCTTCCACCATGTCACCAGATTTTGCGTCATTTGGTACCGGCGAAAATATTATTGTTTCAGAAAGCGCGTCCAATTCTATTGACTTGGGTGTTAAGCGTTTGTGGTCTCATGCTGGTGAGGTCAATAGGGCCAAGTTCTCCCCCATCGGTGAGAAGTTTGTCACGTTCGATAACGCAGGAGTGGTTCATCTTTACGATATCAATCAGGAAATGCCAGTAGATTTTAAGTTCCACAAAACAGAAGGCTACTGTTTAGAATGGGTCTCAGAAAATCAATTTCTTTCTGGAGCCAACGATTCCCAGATTGCACTTTGGAATGCGTCTTCGCCAGCTGCACCCGAGAAACAATTCAATACCCACACCGCTGTAATCAATGATATTTCATTCAGCAAGCCGGCGGCAGTTCTTTTTGGGTCTGTTGCCGATGACTTTACAACTCAAATCCACGATCTTCGAACTACAGAGGACTCACCTGCCATTAAAATTGTCGAGAAACATTTACAGAATGCCATACAACTTCACCCGGAAATTGGTCATCTTTTTGCTACCGGTGGAAAAGATAATTTGGTCAATGTTTACGATGCCAGATTAACAGATCGACCAATCAGACAGCTATTTGGTCACAATGATCTGATTTTTGGCTTACGCTGGGACAATATCGATCCTTTGCAATTATACTCTTGGGGCCTAGACAAACGGGTTATTTCCTGGGATTTGAACTATCTCACGGAGGAATATGCCCCGCCTTCAACTGAGTCTCAGGAAACAAAGAAAAGATCTAAACACACTGAAGACCCATGCTTGCAGTTCATCCACGCAGGTCACACGAATCGTGTCAATGACTTCGCCGTGCATCCAAGCATACCCAACCTTTTTGCATCTGTAGGAGATGATACGCTTCTCGAGATCTACCAACCCAAGACTTTGAGAGAGGGAGACGAAGATGATGAAGATGAAATGGCAGAAGAGCAGGATCCTGAAGAGAATGAAGCAGTGAATGGAGAAGCGGATGCCGCCTCTGGTACTTATGAGAAAAAAGATGCCGATGAAGATATCGACCAAATTGTTGATTCGCCTAAGCTAGAAGAAAAGACAAATTTTACCGCGGACAATGGTCTGCACGAACAGTTTGGTATCAACAGTAAGCCCGCCGCTCAGGAAGAACACTCCAACAGCGATGTGGACATGGCGGAATAAACGGTGCACACTTATTTGCGACTGATGCTAAATCAAATACATTGACCACGACAAAAGCTTTTTGAAGTTACGCCGTGTGAACGAGGCCACAGAGCTGTCCTAAGTATTAAACCTCCTGAAATTTTGGCTCACACAATTTGTTCTCTATATAATTCCTGATCACCTTTGAAATCCCCAAAATTTCAATCAAAATTGATCTCTCTATTGGCTAATAACAATTTGGCCCTCCATAGTAATTCACTTTTTCCCTATGCACGTTTTATACACGCCGCGCACTGTGACATTTGCAATGCTAACAGGCTTCACAGCATGTAGATAAATACCCAAGGGACCGTAGATATCTGGTCTTGACTCATTCTTTTTCTTATACTATGGACGGAAAGCACGATTTTGACCTCGAGTCTGATGGCCACAAGCGAAAGTCAAAATCCCCGTCCTTGTCAAATGAGCATGAGCCTAAAAGGCCCAAGCTTGAGTCGGACGACTGGGAAAAACTGGAGGACATTGCCAAGCAATACAAAAAGTTTGTGGCAGCACCCAAATTCAGCCTCAACTCAGAAGAGCTTTTCTGTGTGTGTCGCAAACCTGACTCTGATGGAGAGTTGATGATCTCATGTGACGGTTGTGAAGAGTGGTTCCACACAAAATGTATGCGGATAGACCCAGAGTATACCCAGCTTCTTGACAAGTTCTTCTGCAAGTTTTGTCAATGGAAAGGTAGTGGTGTGACTCGATGGAATAGAAAATGTCGTATGTTGGGATGCTTGAAGCCCATACGAGCGACAGAGAAATCAAAGTATTGTTCCGATGAATGTGGCGAAGCCTTCATGTTGCTGAAACTATCTGGGTCGCAGGTACTAACGCTTAGCGATCTCAATTTTGTAGTCAACTACTGTGGAAGCTATGCTGAGCTCAATTCCATGGGTTCTACTTTTCCTGAGCTTCCTGAGGTCTTGCTGTTAGATATGGAAAAGCTTCCTGAACTGGTTCAGAAAGTTCTCACTGACAATGAAGAAATGCAAGAGAAAATACAAGCACAGCTCGAACAAAACAAAGCAAAGACAAAATACTTGTCAAGGGTCAAGGAAATGGTTGCCATCATCAATGAAGAGATCCTGGCTTTAGCGGCGCCCTCACACATAGAGGAAACCGCTCAAAAATCGAAGAAAAAGAAAAGCCGATCCATAAAAATTGATCTCTGTTGCTTCCAGTGCGATCTCAACACAAACTTGTTCCAAGATCTCCCCAAGGATAAATCGATTGATACAGATGTACGTGTCACGTTCGAAGAAGAGATAACTTATGCAGTGGAACAATACAATGCAGGTCCCGACTTCCATGAAGGGAAAATGTGCTTGAAAGACCGCAGGAAGTGTCTTCGTCACAATGGCTGGTTCAATCTTTTGAGCGACCGTTTATGGAAACGACTGGAGGAGCTTCAAACGACTCTAGACAAATTACAAAAAGAAAAGTCTGTTGTGCTTAGAAACTACAGCATTTCCGTATACGAGAGACAACTTTAGATTGAAAACACAAAACCTGTGGGTGTTCATCTACACACTATTTGGTAAAAGAACTAAAGACGTATTGAGAGATTCAGGCGCTTATCGAGAGGCGTTTTTATTCCCGAGTGAAGACGAAGCATCTTTGGGCTTCATCCCAACCTCCAGTGTATCCTTCGTTTTCTTCATATTCGCGTGCAAGCTTTGCCGGGGAAATAATCATTTTGGGTGCGTCGCTCACCTTAAAAATGGCATTATGCCATGGTGTGGGAATGTGTAATAACCTGTCCTCTTCGTCTTGATTGTGACAACCAGTCGAGCAGATTTCTGGGTTCAACAATCTGATACCAAATTTAGGGCCACAGTTTGGATGGGCGTGAATCGACAATCTGAGGTGGAATGGAAACACCAACTCCACCAAGTTTGAGTACGCGTCGTTACGTCTTATCATCTCGTATGAGACTAGCGAAACCATCTTTTTGAACTTCTTGCCAGACATTTTTTGCGCTGCAGTTGTCCGCCCCAAATCTTCAGACATGAATTTGTTGAAACCCCGGTATAAGAAAAGCCTAGCATGTCCAGGAGTCTTGATTTGCTCTCTAAGAAGATTGTCATTGTCGTCACATCCAAACATTAGAATTTTCCGGTTGACGTCAGTTTCTTCATCTACCATTGTGTCCAAGTGATGATCGATTTTGATGTCTTCCAAATGAGTGGCAATAACGTTTTTTGAGCTTGACTTAAAGCAGTCGTTAAGTCCTTTGAAAAAGATTCCGTTAAAATCTTCAGGTTTGATCCGCTCATACATCTCAATAAGCTGAGCCGTATACGTATCCACCACATTGTCGTCGACACCTATGCAATCGCTAAAGACATGTCCATCGCTGACAATGTAGAATTTCATACCGGGAGCATACACCTTGTTGACGGCTTGAACAAAGTCTATAATTCTTCTGAGAGCAAGCTCCTCGCCCATATCAGGCTTACCCTCTTGAGCCTTGTCACGATTTTGTGTTTTGCAAGGGAAAGCTGGGAGAACAGCCTCGATTGGTATTTGCCTCGATGTAAAAAACCGAACGTTTTCGATGAAACTCTCGCGTCCTTCTTCCCACCTGTCAACTCTAGCTGCATTTTTAATCGAATTTTCAAAGATCTCAGTAAACTCGACCGCCAGCTCTTTGAACTTCCCCGATACTTTTCTATTGAAAGAGAAATCTCCATTCTCAAGAATCGTTTGCAAGAACCAAGCGTCAAACACAGTTGGCTCGAACACTTCCGTTGCAACTCCGACAACTATGTTACCAGCGCGTTTCTCAAAGAACATCAACTCGCTACACCCTTTAATTGTCATGTCCAGCAACTCGGAACTTATTTTGGGATCTAATGCTTCTGCCTTCTGTAAGCAGGACCAAGCTTCAGCTTCACTTTTCGTCGCCTCTTTTTGGATACGACAATTCAAAAAAGAGTCTTCATTCCGGCAATATACATAGTGCACTCTTTCGTAAACAGTCTTGTCTTGAACGGTCATTATGAAGAGCCGTAATAGTTAAATAAGCAAAAGGCTTAGGCCATTGTTAGCTCGTTAGTTCTTATATCTTGATTGAATATTATCTGCCCTAAACCAAAATCATTCTTGGAACAAAGATGTAAACTGGTAAATTGTTTTCCGGTAACTAAAGATCAGGCCAACATCTGCTGCATTCTGCGATCCAACTTGGGGAAGCATAACAAAATTACAACGTGCGGTAGCTATCTAAATCACAGGTTAAAGCAAGGGCAGGGAACACGTGCAAAAAAATAGGAAAGTCTTGCTCAACTATCTAATGATACATCATATGCCTATAGAGTAAATTCTGCTTTGCCTGTTTTCGTGTCATCTATGGGTGCATTTCCTTGCAGGGCAAGACCCATCATGAAGGAGTCTAACCCCATTCTAGAACCTTCGCGAGACGCTAGAGCAGAAGTTACCGGTGTCGTAAAGCTAGTGACTGTTTCGGGTGAATGGCATTTCCCTCCTTCTAATGCGTATATACGACCGTCAAGCAAGCAGCTTGATGATGTAAGATTGGACCCATAGGATGAGTTCGGATTTGTGGATAAATTGGAAAAGGAAAATTCTTCTTTTTGCGATCTACTTGATGTCATCTGTCCATGCAGCCAGTTGAGTGAAGATGCATTCCTTGAGTTATGAAGTCTCAAGACTTTCTCTTGAAGCTGTTGAAGAGAATTCGAAGAAAATGCAGGTTTTATGTTGGATCCGGCATTGCGAACGAAAGCATGCTCCAATGCGGCTTGCGCTGTAATACGTTCGCTAGGGTCTAGTTTGAGGCACTTAGAAATGAAGTCTTTTGCCGTATCTGGAATGGCTGACCAGTAATCGTCGGGCTCGAAAATATAATCTGCGTTGGATATCAAATGTTTTGTTTCTGCATCTGTGTCGCAATCGAAAGGCATATACCCACATAACATGAAGTATGTTAGGACCCCAACTGCCCATAGATCAACAGGAAAACTGTGACCACACTTAGATAAGACTTCTGGGGCAAGATAGCTTAATGTACCATCGAAAGATTGAGCCTTCTCGCCCAGTTTTAGAATTCGGGCCTGGCCAAAATCTGCAAGAAGCAACAGGCTTGCTTTAGAAGTATTGGATGCAAACAAAATATTCTCAGCTTTGATGTCTCGATGTACGATGCCGTTGCTATGCAAATGGTTTATTGCAAGCAATATCACCGACGTAATATGGCTCGTTTCAACAATGTTAAGCTTCCCTTCTGGAGCCTCAGTTATTCTTTGAAAAAGTTCACCTCCCACAGCCAACTCGGTCACGAGATAAAAAAAATCTGATGTTTCGAAGTAATCGATCATCAGGAGAATATTGGGATGTCCGCGCAGTATAGTTTTGAGCACCTGGAATTCCCTCTGAAGCATCAGTTCATTTCCGTATATGAGTCGTTTACTGAACCTCTTTGCGGCATAGTGGGCACCAGTGGCTGCATTTTTGCATTCATACACATTTGCGTAAGATCCCGTGCCCAAAACTTTCCTTGAAAGTATATACGGGCATGGTAAATTCTGTTTTTCCGGCGAGCGAGAGACTTGTTGGGTCTTGAATTTGGGCCAAATGTCTTGGCACATCGGGAAAGGCAACTGAAGATGAGAAAACAAATATTCAGTAGGTTCTAGTCAGCCGTATATGGCGTGCTAACAAATTGAATGTATCGTACTATTAAGAAGATTGAAATAGCAAAAGCTCGAGGCTTGCGCAATTAAAGAGGAATATCTGTATTCGGTGCGAACTGGATCAAAAATGTCCTGCATCTCGGATTAACTTTGGCAATTCACACAACGTTCAGCATCCAACCTTTAGACCGTAATTGTACTTTTTCAAACAGTATCCAGGTTTACGTGCTTTCTTACGACTTGGGGGGGGGTTTCATCAAAAAATACAACTGTGAAAAACAAAGTCAACTATGTTTGTCTTTTGGCAAGAAGCAAGCAAACTTGTTGCAATACTTTCAATGTAATATTTAAAAAAAAACCACTTTCCTTTGTGTTTCAAAGAAGTTTTGAAGTTGAGGACTGAAAAGTAGAAAACCCTCCTCTTTTTCAATTTTTTTATTTATTTTATGCAATGAATAGGCAACTTCTTTTGATTCTGGCAAATAAGAGAACACTTTTTTTGAGATCTAGGTATTAGAGCTATAAGTTATGTATCAGGATCCAATTTCAGTGCGAGGTCTACATCACGTGATCACCATTCACGAAGGTTTGCACGTGATGGGCATCGCATCCTAATTTTCCACCACGAGGAATCTCTAACGCTTAAGTCTGCAAGCATGGATGGCTCAAAGTTGAGCATAAGTGCTCTCAAAGATAAGATCTCCTCTAAGCTCTCATCTGGGGAGCCGTCAGGCGCATCAAAGGGACATGATGGTAAGTCAACTGGCGGGAGCAAGAAGGCTAAGGGAGCGAAGAGCGAAAAGCAGACGTCTACTTCGAAAACCGGAGTGACCGGTAAAAAAGACAAGAAAGACAAGAAGTCCAGGAAGGAGAAATCTGGGAAGTCAGAGAAAAATGATACTCAGGATCAGGCTCTAGACAATGACGAGGTGGATATTCTTAGACGTGAAGCACTTGCTTTGGGAGCCACTGAAGAAGACTTAAAGCTAGTAGAAGGCGTTGATAATGAAATTGAGCAGATTTCTGTGGATTGTCCCGAGGGTGTGGATAACAACTTTAACTCCGACTTGTCCAAATTCATGAACGGACTTGGGTTCTCCGGTCAAGTCGATGTTGTTGAAGAAGAAGAGGAAGAAACACAACTCATTGACAAAGGAAAAGAAAGAAAAGCAGAGAAAGACTCAGAAGAAATTGAAGGCCTGGTGGCTCAAAAGAAAGAGCCCAAAAAAAAAGAGCAGAAGACCAAGAAAGTGAAACTGGAACCCATAGTGATTGAGAAAAAGGAGGAATCAACAGTTCTTGTTGCTGAGATGGCGAAGGAGAAGAAAGACAAGCGCCAGAGCGACAAAATCAACAACGTTCAATCTGTGAATTCAGAAAAACTTCTCATAGAGTGCAGAATCGACTGGTACAACATTGAAACACCGGCTATAGAGGAACCTGAAAAGTTGGACCGTTTCGCTTTGGAGAGACTTACAGAGAAAGCAAAAGCTTTGATAGATTCCGAGAACAAGACGTACTTGACTGAATTTACGTCGAACAATTCCCAGAGAAAGTTTTTGTCCCAAATACTTTCTGACGGTACATTGAACGATAAAATCTCTGCATTGACCTTATTGGTCCAGGAAGCTCCTTTACATAACTTAAAAGCTTTTGATACGCTTTTGTCTTATTGTGAAAAGAAATCTAGAACCGCTTCTTTGCAAGCGATCAACGCTTTGAAGGATTTGTTTCTCAATGGTCTCTTGCCTGACAGAAAACTTTTATCATTCCCGAAGCAGAAGCTCAACAAAAATGCGGACGTTATTACCTTGGCTTTGCATTATTACGAGGATCACTTGAAAAAAAGCTATTTCAAGTTCATTCAAGTCTTAGAGTTCTTAAGTCACGACCCTATTTTGCACGTGAGAATGAACGTTGTGCTGCACATTTTTGACCTTTTGAAAGCGAAACCCGAACAGGAAGCAAACTTGCTCAGATTGGGTGTTAACAAACTTGGAGATGTTGAGAACAAAGTTGCTGCAAAAACATCTTACCAGATTCTTCAATTAGAGGAAACTCATCCCGCTATGAAAAAGATTGTCACTGACTCTGTCACAGACATGGTGCTTCAAAAGAACCACGATTACCATTCGCAATATTACACAATCTTGACTCTTAACCAAACTATCTTGCTGCGTGGTGATACCGATTTGGCTAACTCATTAGTAAAAACTTATTTCTCTCTTTTTGAGAAAATTCTTATTGAGTCTGATCCCGCGTTGAAAGATGCAGCTGAGGACAAAGTGCTCGGAAAGAGCGAAAGAGGAAGAAAGAATAACAGAAAAGCTTTCAAGAAAGGTAAAAAAGGAGGAAAGTCTGTTAAGAAAGAAGAGAAATCCGAAGAAGAGGTTGTTGAGGAACGCAGTGCTAAAATGTTTTCTGCTCTTCTTACCGGCTTGAATCGTGCGTTTCCATTTTCAGATTTACCTTCCGAAATTTACTCAAATCATTTGAACACCTTGTACAAAATCACTCACTCCACCAACTTCAACACCTCC